TGCGCTGCCGTTTCACGTAGACGGAGTCGCGTCCGCGGTGTTGGGTCTGGCTTCTGTCACTTGGCCTCGTGTTTGAGATCCGCCCTCGAGGCTGCATCTCTCAGAACCTCATTCCTCCTTTTGCTGATTCTGTTCCATTGTGTGGATTGTACGTTTGTTGCTGATGGGCGTCTGGGCTGTGTCCACTTTTTGGCCATTAGGGATAGAGTTGCTGTGGACATGCGTGTACAAGTTTTTTTTAAAAAATGTATTTTAATTGATTTTAGGGAGAGAGAGAGAGAGAGAGAAACATCAATGATGAGAGGGAATCATGGATCGGCTGCCTCCTGCACGCCCCGCACTGGGGATCAAGCCTGCAACCCGGGGCTGTGCCCTGACGGAATTGAACTCTGACCTCCTGGTTCCTAGGTCGACGCTCACCCACGGAGCCACACTGGCCGGGCCAGGTACAGGTTTGTGTGTGGACACAGCTTGCCTCCTCCTGGGGGTCTGTCCCCCGCCCAGCGGGCCTGCTGGGCCGGCGGGTTCCTGTTTCACCTCGTGAGGGTCTGCCTTCCACGGCGGTTGCACCCTTGACACGCACCAGCGATGCGGGCGTCCCGATGTCCCCGTCCATGTCCGTGTGTCCGCGTTTATCGCAGCCTCGTCCTCTGGGGTGAAACGTCTGCCTAAGAACCTGGTAGCTGAGGTGCCATTCGGATCCTGGATCAAAGCTGCATCCTCCCACCGACTGGGGTTTCCTGGAACAAGACTCCACGCGGTCATAGGCCTGGCGCTGGCTCTGAGCGTGTGGCCTCGCCAGCCCAGGGGCTCAGCGGAGCCGCGTGGAGCCGACATGTGGGGGGGCTCGGTCCCGCGTCTCAGTCCTCGTGGCTGAGAAAAGGGAGCGGGGCCCGGCCACACGAAGGCGAGCGATTCCTGCTGGCAGCGTGAGCGCGACCCGACCCCACACCCCAGCTTCCTTCCGAGAAAGCCTGGGGAGCGTGAGTGTGAGCGCGAGTGTGAGCGTGCATGTGAGTGTGTGTGAGAGTGAGCATGTGTGTGTGAGTGTGAGCGTGCATGTGAGTGTGAGAGTGTGTGAGTGTGAGCGTGTGTGAGCGTGCATGTGTATGTGAGTGTGAGGGTGCGCGTGTGCGCGTGTGAGAGTGCGTGTGAGCGAGCGTGCGTGTGCATGTGAGCGTGTGTGTGCTTGTGTGTGAGTGTGAGCGTGCGTGACTGGGCATGTGTGTGAGTGTGAGCGTATGTGTGTGTGTGAGTGTGCGTGTGAGCGTGAGCGTGTGTGAGTGTGAGCGGGCTGCGGGGCTGAACGCTGTTGCTTGTGCTCACACTTGGAGCCTCCTCGTCCGCGTGGGGATGTATTTGCCTTGTGATGTTTTCGGAGCTGAACACGTTTCTCTCGTGTCTCATCCCCAGGAAGCCTGGAAGCGACGGGGCTGGCGGGAGGCAGAGCTGCCGGCCCGAGCGACACCTGGAAGGGCCCTTCTGTGTCCTTGTTTCCTTGGGGTTGCGGGGTGGGGGGTGTGGGGGTCCTTGAAGTTGCCCCCCAGTCCTGGGGGGGTCACACAGGTGCTGCCGGGGACAGCGGACACGGGACAGTCAGCGTCGACCCGTCAGGGGCCCAGCGGCTCTGGGGACCCGGAGTAGAGTCAGCGTCCTCCGCTCTGGGAGGGGCCCGACCCCGTGAGACCCACTGGGGTCACGTCCGCCCCCACCTCACCCCAAAGGCATTTCTATGTCTTAAGTCCGTGAAAACGAGGCTCAAAGTGTTTTAAAACCACCGTAAAGTTATGTTTACAGCTTTTGACCTGTTACGTCCCCTTTTTTTAGACAAGGTTTGCCCTGTAAACACTGCCAGGCGATGCCTGTAAAAGCTTTACAGGACGAGTCAGCACTTTCATTTATTTATTTAATATATTTCTAATTATTTCAGAGAGAGGAGGGGGGGAGAGAGAGAAACGTTAATGAGAGAGAATCATGGATCAGCTGCCTCCTGCACGCCCCACACTGGGGATGAGCCCGCAACCCGGGCCTGTGCCCTGACCGGGAATCGAACCCTGACCTCCTGGCTCATAGGTCGATGCTCAGCCCCTGAGCCGCGCCGGCCGGGCGGCTTGTACATGTTTAAAGGTTGAAAGAAAAGACAGAAGGTCCCTCTGGTGGCCCGTGAAGATCTCGGGCTGTGAGGGGAGGTGTCTGGGCGCCCAGCCGGCGTCCACCGTGCACTGTGTGCACCAGGGGTTGTGTCCGTGGTTGCGACAGGGACCGCCCGGCCCACGACGGCTGCGAATGTCACACTCGACTG